CCCCCCCCCCCATCTGCTCGGTTTAATAAACATGTTATCATCTGCAAAAAGTAAGTGGTTTACCGCCGGAGTAGTTTGAGCCACTTTAAACTTTAATTCACAAAGGTACGATGACTATCATTAGCTTTCAATAGGCATGAGAGGCCCTCTGCTACTAACAAAAAGAGATAAGGTGAAAGAGGATCTCCCTGACGGATTCCTCGTGAAGGCTTAGAATTGTCCAACCTTGTACCATTAAACAATACACGAAAGGCTTAGAAGCGATCTTATAGAGTACATTGCATAGGCTGAGAGGACGGAATTGAGATAAAGCTGAAGGGTTCAATACTTTAGGAATGAGAATCAGGATTGTGTCATCGATCAATTTGGCACTTTTAGCTACTTCAACAATACGCAGAACAGCATTTATACTAGATGAATAGGGATGCGATTTGAGCAATGTCCTTAAAGATGCCCTAGGGGTGAACCAATCTGTGGTTGGATGGTTAGGAGGACACTGATATCCTCAGCCCACTAGGGTTCAAGTCCTGCTACTCACATTTATTCTGAATTTATTTTAAAATTTTCGATGATGCATGTTCAGTGCGAGGAGAAGTTCCCGTCGACTACGAGACGTCTACGGTGCCTTCATAAAATATTAACATGATATGCCGGGTCAGTCTCTCGGCTCATAGAGATAGAACGTGTATGTGTGCGTCATAGGATGAGTGTATGCGCGTATATATATATATATATATATATATATATATATATATATATATATATATATATATGAGTGTTTGCGTTTGCATTGTGCTAAAAAAAGATGGCCTGGGGAATTGAATTTCTTTTTGTCAAAATTGTGAAAACCAAATGCGACACCAACTTCATGCAAACGACGGTTTTCCTCTCGCATCGTTTTCGGCTTCACGTTGTATGCCACCGCGGGCACGACTCGTCAACCGCCGCCCCCCTTTGCCGGGCCACCGAAAGACGTCACGGGAGGCCGCACCGGCACGGCACAACCCGACGCGGACAGGAACCTCACGAGATGCGTCGGCCGCGCCTCGCCGCCCGTCGGTACGCTGGACGCCAGGCACGACGCCATCCTCTTCAGAGCTGCGCCATCTCGGTGGCCGTCGAACACGAAGGCGGACGTGACCGGCGCGTCGTTGGCGACGACGCCGCATCGTTCGCCGGCCCCTATCAGCTCCACCGGCAGGTCGAAGCACGGCGACGGGCAGTATCCATGGACGGCGCCACGGTCGTCCCTTCCCCCCGGCTCCACCAGGAAGTCGAAGACGATGTTGCTGCCGGAGTAGAGCGAGGAGCACTCGAGCTTCTCCAGGGACGCCGCGCGGGTTAGCAGCACCTGCGGGGGTTCCTGCTCCGTGCGCCGGTCCTGTTCCGGCGCCGCTGGCTGCCGACTCTCGCCGGTTTCCTCCGGCTTCTTCTTGGAGAGTCCTGGGAGGCAGAGGCACGTGAACAGCGTGCCGCAGGTGAAGCCGTCGCGCTCGGCGTTCGGCACTTGGGACATGGCGCTCGCCGGCAGGTACACACAAGTTCGAACGCCTTGGAGGGGATAGGGAGATGTCAGCCCAGCGCAGTACCGGTATATAGTGAGGTGCGTCAGGTCACGGTGGCGGGTGGTGGTGGAGTGGAGGGGCACACCGCCGGTCAGCCCGCTAGATCGTGTGTTTCATGATTTGCTGGCTTAACTTAGTCGTCGGGGCCCACTTACATACTCGTTCTGCGTAGATCTAGCCGTATGGCGCTTGGTTCGTTTGACTCGACTTCGTTCATGTGCTATGCATGCTCTGCATGATCGCGATACCATGATACAACCGCTAAAAAATTCAAATTTGCAAGTTTCTAAACAAAAAATGAGAAAAAAATCTGAATGTTAACAACATATGAGTCTACAATCTCTAAAATTTACAATCCCAAATTCGAAATGCACACGGAGAAACAAAGAAGACAAATTCAATTGTGAATGGTGTTCATGCTAGATTTGCCCCCTTTGTTTCTCATTGTATATTTCGAATTTGGGTCTGAAAATTTAAGGTATTGTATAAACATATCTAGAATTTTGTGGAGACTTGCAAATTTGAAGTTTGAGGAGTGGTGCCATGTTGTCATGTGAAGTGTGGTATCATGTGATATTCCCACCTCGTACTATACTGGTTTCAGTGGAACCGAGGGAGTACATCCGTATTGCCAATACATTCCAATTCACCAAACTGACAAGATCAATTCAAGTTATTTGAAAGCGCACATATCACCTAAGAATTTTTGAAGATAGCACAGACTACAGTCTACAGAGTACACCACCCTTTGGTGATCTTCTCAATCTCAGTTCTTCTCTACAATTAGTTTAGCTCTTGCATGCCCAGCCTCTATCCGGTACTGCTCACCCATCCCCAGGTGCGTCATCAAGAACCAGACGACGGTGAGCAGCTCGCCGCCGTTGCTCAGCTGCTTGGCGTGGAAGTTGCTCCGGTACTTGCTCGCGGCGTAGCAGAGCATCTCCACCCACACCACGCGAATGAGCCGCCACCTCTTGCCGGGCGGCAGCTCCAGCAGCGACTTGGCCAACCGGCACGCGTCGAACAGCACCGACTTGCTCCTGTCCCCCTTCACGTCCCTCGGCGCAATCTCCGCGTTCACCTCCAGCACCATCCTTGCCGCGGCACGCTCACCGGGCGTGCGGCCTCCCGCCCGAAGAAGTTCTTGGCCTCCGCACACGTGTCGCCGAACCGGATCTGCCCGATGCCCGCAGTCAGCATGAACGGCCGGGCCACGAGCAGGAAAAGCATGTAGTTCGACACCGCCCTGCTGATGCTGACATACTCGGTGAGCTTGGCGTCGTCGTTGTCGTCGTCCGAGTAGAAGCAGAGGTCCGTGGCGATGTGCCAGAGGAGAATGCTCTCGTCGAACTCCGCCTCGACGCTCCAGCCGAGCTCCTTGTAGTAGCCCTTGCACTGGAGCGCCCACTGGCCCCTGTGGTTGCTGAACTTGCGGTAACTCTCAGTGTCGACGATGCTGAGCGCCTTGTCTTTCAGCTCCCTGAACACCGAGATCTTCAGCTCGGACGACACGTCTATGTGCCAGATGTATAGCCAACTGTCCCAGTGCCCTTTGAGTCCGAGCAGCGTCAGGATCTTGGTGATCAGCGTTGGTTTGTCATGGAGGCAAAAGCTGATGAGGTTGTGCTGCGCCATCAAATTGGACCACTTCGCCCGGCTTTCTGGCCGGAAATACTTTATGCACCGGAGGATTAGATGGCTCAGCGAATGGCAGATGGAACCTTTCAGAGCTGCGTATGTCCAGTATGATACAAGCATCATACCAATGGCAGAAACCTCCAAGCAAAGCGCTCCTCCGAATAACAGATTGGTGATGAGGACATCGATGCCGTCATACGACCCGCGTCGACCCTTGTGTAGCACATTGAAGAAGACGCACGCTGTCGTCGTGGAGACGAGCGTGACACAGCGGAACAGGCGGCCATAGCAGGTGTGCATCACCGCCGCCTTGGAATGCAGGGTGTCATACATGAGGGACAGCTCGATCTCGATGATCTTGTACGCCTGCTCCGGCATCAGCCGCAGAAACGTGGCCTGGCTCATGGTACGGTCTTGGAAACTGAGGATGAGGTTCACGAACAGGCGCTTGAAGGTCACGAAGAAGCACCGCGCCTCGGTGATGACCGTGGCGTAAGGTACGGTCTCCTCTGTGATTGCCGGGGCGGTGACCCCAGCACGTCGCTCTGACTCGATGATGATCTCCGCCCGGAGCCCCGCCTCACGTGTGAAGCGATACTCCTCCATGAACTTGGCGTAGTTGGGGCCCGGGTCCGGCATGGTGACCATGCCGCTCCGCAGGTTGTCCATGCTGGCGCACTTGAGCGCCCATGTCCTCTCGCCGTACTTAAGAATGCCGCTCAGGAACATGAACACGGCCGGGTATAGGATATCGGCACCAGGGCGCGACTTGGAGAAGACGTAGACAGCAAGGGCAACCTGTTATAACACAAGACAAGGCAAGGCTTGGTTGTTTCAAGTTTGTGAAGTGAGCAGTACTAACTCTGTCTGAAGTGCAAAAGATTGGAGAAATTAACCATACCTGCGACAGCAGGCTGAGCAGGTGACGCTTCCAGAGCTCGTTATCTTCAATGGAGAAAGCGGTGATGGTGTCCTGACCACCAAGGTGAAGGAGCAGGAATGGCGCCCAGAAGACCTGGATGCGGTGGTTGCGGTTGAAGAGCAACTGTGCATCGTCGCAGGCGCCTCTGGGCACGCGCGTCTGGGAGAGGTACCCGAGCGCGTAGATGGCAATGGAGTCCGCGAGCAGGTAGGCGAGCCAGAGCAGCACGCTGAGCAAGGCGGAGACGTTGCGCTTCCGGATGCCGGCGGAGAAGAGGAGGAACACCTGCAGCGCGAGGCTGGTGAGCACAAGCACGCGGATTTCCCACTCGTTCCACACAGTGAACAGGCCTCCCATGGATTGTGTGCTCATGCCGTTCCCCTCCATCTCTGCCTTCCACTCCGGCGGCTGGCACTTCTCCAGGATCATCGTATCCTTATGCTCGTGGGGAGACTTGGCTCCTGGTCTTCCATGGGGTCAACCTCAGGCGTCATTGGTTTTCTTAATGATTTCAAATGGGACATGTACGCGTCTTGGAAGAAGAAACAAGTTGGCACTATAAGTTAAGGGCCGTCACTGTCTTGGTCTCTGCGCCCCTCATGGTTCAGTTAGCTCCCCCCTCTTTATCCCTTGATTATCCTGTGAATCCATCAATCAACAACTGAAAAATCCTCCATCAAACTACCTTCTTACGAGCAATTTCTGACCGGAAAAGCCGAAGGGGTCGATGGCCATGGTGGCGCAGTTTCTGGTTAGAAAGTTCGTTGATAGCATGGCGGAGGAGGGAGCCGCGGAGCTCCCTTTCAGCTCCCACTTCTACGACATGAGGGCCGGGTTGGAGAAGGCAGCCATTTCTTCCACCAACGCCGATGAGCTCCGAGAGTGCATGTACGAACTCAATAGCCTGCTCTCGCAGTGCCGCGTGCTCACCAACCGGCCAAACACGCGGAGCTGCTTCTTCTCCCCCTCCGAAGCGTGGCTTTCCAACAAGGTCAAGCAGCGGGTGATCGCCGTGAAGCGCAGAGTCCTGCAATGTGTCCAGAACGACGACCCCAACGGCGATGCTGCAGCATTGCAGCAGGAGAGCACCACCACCGCCGGGTTCAGCCGCTGGACTACTTCCTGGGTTGAGGAGAGCAGGATCTACGGATTCGACCAACAGCTCGCGGAGCTAGAGTCCAGGGCGTTCGGGGACAGCAGCCCCGGACGACTTACAGGCGTCGGCATCGTCGGCATGGGCGGCATCGGGAAGACTGCGCTCGCGCAGCTCGTGTTCAACAGCCCGATGGCCAGGCGCCGCTTCTTCCCCAGGATCTGGGTGTGCCTGTCGCGCACCTCTTGCATTGGCAAGGACGTGCGCAATGAAGTCTTGCAGAGCATACTTATGGCCCTCGGACTTGAAGAGGAGTTCATACTGGCCATTGATAGCCTGGGAGACCTGGAGGTAGCTGTCCATGAGCAGCTCAAGGGGAAGCGGTACCTCATAGTATTCGACGATGTCTGGAACGTCGACGACTGGTACGCCGACATCGCAGGCCATGAAAATGCCTTGTCGAGGGGCGAACAATTGCAAAATGGCCTTATGCTTGGGTTGCCCAAAGAGAGAGGTGGAGTTGTGGTCGTTACCAGCCGGCAGGAGCAGGCAGCAGAGATGATGGTGAGGAAGGGTAGTGTGTACCGTGTGGAGCCGCTGGCCGACAGAGAGAGCGCCTGGGCGATCTTTATGGATGCTCTGAACAAGGAAAGACAGCGTCGATCTCGCAGCTATTAACAACCTGAAAGAGGAAATTCTTCAGACCTGTGGTGGGCTACCGTCAATGGCCAAGGCAATGGCAGACATCTTCGCAAAAAGTCTAACGTTAGCACCATCAACTTCTAGCCAGGAACTTAAGCTTGAGTAGTGGAAATGTAAAGTAGGCAATATGCCTGTCATGGACCAAAAGAAAACTACATAGCAACTGTATATGAATTTTATGGATTTGTCACATGAAAGTTATGGCATAAATTCTTATGAATGGCTGTGAGAAGAAGATCTACAGGCATGTACCATTTCTCCCTGCAAAATAAGTTTGAACCCACGTAGAATTGAATGTTCAGTGCTTCTGGTTTCCTCATAAACAAAATGTGCAGGTGTCAGACCTTTATGGCTTTCACAAATATATTGTGACAAAAATTCAAGACAAACATACATTGTGCAGAAAGTTAAAAAGGCTGGTAAATTTTCACTTGAAGGCCGTAACAAACTTCTGCATGACGCCGTGAAATAACATGTGTGAGAGAGACTGACCATAACTTGCACAACTTTGGTAGAGACTCTGATCAAACTTGCTTTCCAATATATCACTCTCTCCTGACAATGCGCTCACATGAAAAAGCCTGAAAAGAAGAATGACAAATCAGTAAAAATGGATGAATTACTATTGTGTTCCTACATCATAAGTTCATAACCATAGGCCACATATTTGTTTGATGAAGCTCAAATTTATCAACATTCTGTAGCTGATAAGCTGTACAACATATGCAATCAAATAATTAAGACAACAAATGGATAACCTGGCTTTGTGCATCTCCTTTTTCCACTCTTTTTTTTCCTTTGTATTTTTGTTTCAACATTGAGGGCGGAAATTGACTTATTACATATGTAATAATGAGAACTCACTTGATTTGGTGCTTTGTTCTACTCTCTGGTTTCCTGGGTGTCGTAGTTCATCCACACTCCATCCTTGTCACAAGGAAAAGATTCTATGTTGCTACATCTGAATACCTCCAGGAAGGTCAGGTTTGGAAACATCTCATTCACCTGGGTCCATTCTACTCCCTCCATCACACTTTAAAGGGCGTATCTCCAAAACCAATTTTTTTCACAATTAGAGGGAAATAGGGCGCAGGTCATTAATTAGCCCGCTGAAATTACTCCTTCCGCTTGGTGCGCATGCATGGTGTGAACTGAAACTTTAGGTGGAGGTGTGAATCGGTTTTGTTTGCATGCATGGCTGTGCGAGGCCTTTTATTGGACGGGGAGATTACTATGCGTTTGTTTAGCGATTAATTAGGCACATATCCTTAACTACCGCAGCTCCAGCGCATCATTTATTCCTGCCAATCGCTAGCGACCTTGGGCCCAGAGAGATGTGAGGTACGCCCTTTAAACTGTGATGGAGGGAGTAGTACCAAGTCATTCAAGAACTTTAAACGCAATATCTCAATGTTCCACTGCTCGGACATGCTCTTCTCTCCAAAAGTGCTCAGCATTCCTCCTGTGAAGTAGAGCCTCCGCAGTCTCAACAGCCTACTCGGACTCAACCAAACCGGTATGTTCTCACCAGGGAAGCAACGCAAGTCTAGCTTTTCGAGATGGGGAGGAAGGGATAACGAATTTAACAACGCTGTTGCTGCAGAATCTTGTTGGCCCGCTCCTTTCTTTGACAGCAACACAGCCCATGTAATTGTCAGCACACGAAGGGCTTTGATGTTCTCAACTACATGCAGTTCGTCTTCTGTCACTAGAACTTTGCTTCCAATATATATGCTTAGCTTCTTCAGCTTGCCCAGCCTGATCAGCTCCGCTACCTGACAATTGTACTTGCCTGTAGATCCACCAATGACAAACCCTTTCAGCACTTGGAGTTCAGTAAGCAAACCAATGCCCCTTGGCATGCCCTCCAAAAGGTAGCATTCTGAAACGTCCAGGTGGGTCAGCATCTGAAGAGACGTGATGCTCTCAGTAAGCCTCTCAAGGTTATGACAAGCATGAAGATCCAAGATCCTGAGATTTGAGAGTGCGCCGATTGAAGCAGGAAGCTCTGCGATACGGGAGATACCCCGCAGACAAAGATATTTCAATTGTTTGCATGACTGCAACCCTTCCAAATATTCAGTGCTGTCAACCTCAATATGGTATCGGTACAAGTTATGCCACCGACCTAGTTGGAGAACTTCGACCTTCCTCAAATCCAAGAACCAATTCTTGTCGAACTGGAGGTATTGCTCGCTCACATTGAATATTGCAAGAAGGTAATCTGGATTGGACTGATTTCTGAGTGGTGCCGTTTCTGTTGCCTGAATATGTTCTCCTACTAGACAAGCACGGCGAGTACCTGAAAAGCCCCATGTTGCATTGCCATCGGAATCAAATTCAAAAAATCGTTCTTGCCTTGCAACGGTGACCAACATACGCCGAATCCAAGGATGCAACTTGCATTGGTTCACACTACAGTTACGTTTATGACATACAGGTTCAATCATCTCTGCAGTGATCAACTTCTCAAAGCACTCCTTCCCAATATCTTCAGTTGTCTGACTTCTTGTGGCTTCTACTAACCCTTCACCAATCCACCAATGGATCATAGCCCTCTTGCTAATAATGGAATTTTCTGGGAATATAGAGAAGCATAACAAGCACAGCTTCAGCTGAAGATCAAGATTATAATAGCTAAGCTGCAAGCTAGATATCGTGGAGCTCTCAAGGATTTTCCTCTCAATCTCCAATTTTTTCCATTGCTCTGAAGCATTTGCGGACAGCAATCTAGATGGTAAAGATGATCATAAAAACGCAGGAGCTGCTGGCTTGATCAAAGGAACATGGAGAGGAAATTTCATGCGGTCTTTTAAGTTGGACATTTCAGTGTTCACAATCTGAAGCTTAGAATGTACCTTGCTAATTGCTAATTGCAATTCAGAAGAAAAACATACTTGCTTACTAAAGAGCATGGATGCCATCACTGGACCGGATTCGCTAGGGCACATCTATCCAGTTCGTAAAAACATGCTAGGCCATGGAGCATAGCGAGTGTCTACACCGTCAATAGGCAACCGTGAAACAGAAATAGGAATAGAAATTTGAACTCTAGATGCGGAACTCTTACTCTTTCCGCGGCAACAGGTAGGCTCGCATACAGAACAAGGTAAAGGGGAATAGAAGGGGGGAATCCAGGCCGGCGAAGAAAAGGGAAATTACCCGAAAATACAGAAGGCGGCGGCGGTATATAATACGAACTCGGCGGGGCGATGATCCTGCTCTGCTCTGCAGCTCTATCGCTCTTCGCAGAGACAACGGGGCAAAGCTGAGATTTAGGTCACTTTGGCGTTTTTTAGTCGCTGGTTTGCTGCTTGGTATAAAAAAACTGCTATTTAAGATATTTGGATCCAAATAATATGCTCCAGCAAATGATGGTGATGTAAATTTATTTTTTGAGCAACTGATATTTTGCTATGTCTGACAGATTTGTCATGAAGGTCTCTGAAGATGTAAATCAGAACGGCAAAACGTATAATACATGCGATGTGTAAAGAAGAGAAGCCGAGAGGAGAGACCAGATCAAAGGCTTCAAAGCTATAGGCCCCTCCCCTCCCGCGACGCTCCCGCGCGCGTCCGGGGGGCAACCCTAGCGCCGCCGCCGCCACCCCTCTCCTTCTCTCTCTCCTCCAAC